TTTTTCCAGTGCGAGCTTTACTGATGGGCTGCTACAGACCACCCTAAACAGCTTATAAGTGACAGTTTCAGTTTGAGGAAATAACTCCTTAGAGCCTTGCATTTGTTAACATCTTTTTATTCTATCGGAAATACAGACAAATCTCACTCTAACCACCTCAATACAGAGAGCAGATCATGCTTTTAAATACAGAACTATCCCTTTTTGAAACCCTAAACTGTAAACAAGCTTTCAGTAAACAAAGAAGTACACTCAATAGTCAGCCTGAGGTTCTACGGCCTTTATCTAACAAAAGCAACACAAGCACACAATCAGAATTTCTGGAGATGTCCTGTTTAGAAAAGTTCAGAGGGATTTTGAAACACAGCAGTTAGAGCACAAATGGACACATGACTGTTTCACTGGGAAAAAGATCTAGAAATAAGTAAAAATTTCTCAAATTAAGTTAATTTACTCTTAATTTAAGTAGGTAAATGAGATGATTTTCCAATTGAATGAGTATATTTACTCTTAAAATAAGGTATTTAGATAAAATGCACTTGAAATAAGACAATGTAATTGTATTTTCTTATTTTAAATGTAAATTATCTTGCTTCATTGGCAAAATATGTCTTTTACCTTCTAAATTCAAGAACAAATGCACTTATTTTATGAAATAATGACTTATCTAGATTTAGATTTTTTCCAGTGTATAAAATGTTTATAAAGTGGATTTTGCATAATATGGGACCTTTAAAGTTCCTGCAGAGTATAACCTCAACATGATTATCTCTGTGATGTTAGGATGGAAAACACTGCTGGCCTTCGACTCAATGACGGTCTTTGCTACTTTAACCTCCCTCTTCATCCTGTGTAGTTTCCTCTGTGCTGAGCTCAAATTAGGCAATTATACATACATAAACTTAGAGAAATTAAACATAGTGTAAAACAAAATCTTAAAACATTTGTCATGAAGGGATTTAGAAGCTGTGTCATCATGTCTTACCATGGGATTTTCATTTCCTTTCAGAAGTCAGTTTAATTTCATTCTATCACACAGAGTGTATACAAAATGAAATTTTGTTTTGTTCAGTTTTCAGACAGTGGATGAGCAGCAGAAAAACAGGAGTAAACACTGAAAAACAGACCCAAGTCTATGACCTCTAATGGAATTTGTTGGAGAAGCTACTATGATGAAAAGGAGCAGAGCATAAAGTTAGAGGTTGAACTAAAAAAATACTGTATAATGTGCTGAATGGGAGAATAGAGATAGAATGAAGCAGAATGAGGAAAAAATGTCCCTATGTCCTCCAGCAGTCTAAGCCTATAGCAGCATAACTATAGAGATAGCTCAGGATAACTTGAGCCACTCTAACTATAAGCTTTATCAAAAAGTTGCCTCAAAAGACTAAAACTAACTAAAACTGGCAGTTGGTTCCACAGGAGAGGAGCCTGATAACTAGAAGATCTGCTTCTGTATAGAACAAAATAAATAATCAGATATAAGATGAAGTTTGGTTATTTAGGGCTTTAAACGAAAGAAAGAGAATTTTAAATTTAAGTGAATTAAAAATACTTAAACCTACAGAGTAAATGTGCTGTACTAAAGTTAGATTTTTATGAAGTGTAAGATAATGCCTCTTAAGGAAATACATTTACTTTAAGATGTTTTCCACTTATTTATCAGCAAACATTGAACCTATGGATGAATCATGACTGTACGAACTAAATGAATAATCCTTGAGGGGTTTGGGTCTGCAAAGAAATGTGCTGTAAGTCAGGTAGAAATGCTACAAGTAGCTTCAAAGTTAATAATAAATAATCTAATCTGACATATCTGACTCTAAAGTCTTACATAGAGTGGAAACATAGAGTGGTTAGAACAAATAAGACCATGTGAATCTACTCAGGTTAACTCTGATTTGTAAGATGCAAAAAAAAGATTTTTTACTTTATTTTTAAAAAGTTTTCTTTACTGAAGTTGTTACAGAGCAATTGTTTTTCCTTAAATGTATCGATAATGAGACCAACACCCACTCAGCACTTACTCTATGGAAATATTTTGGTTTTTGTCATCATCTAACTGAAGCCAAACTGAGAAATTGGAGCAATGTGGGAGGATGCAGGGTGGTAAATGTGGTAAATGGTGCAAAAGCTGCAGAAGAGGTACAGAAGCTCGTCTCTTTATTCTACTAAAACTATTTTTATTGCTGTGGGATGATGCAGAGGGGAAAAACATAAACGGCAACCAGTTTCACTGGGTGGGGGGGACACATATGCATACACATGCATTACAGCAGAGATGTCAAACTGGTTCCAGAAAGGAACATGTGGCTCCAGGTTTTCTTTCCATCCAAGCAATAGCACAGCAGACTCCAGGCATCTAATCAAGTGATTCCAATCTGCACATGATGACTTCATGAGATTAATGAAGTCTGCTGAAAATTTGCTGGAATCAGTTTGACACCTCTGCATTACAGTTTTCTGGTCCTATTTTGTTAAACTGACCAAAAAAAAAGAAAGAAAAGAAATAAATCATAATCT